TCTTGTAATAAATCTTTTCCATCACTAGCAACATGCTGGGGAATTCTGTTACTAATTATGGTCCTTCGATTCTACTGTGAGTATAACTTTAAAACTACACTTTGGTCTGATGTGTGTAAGGGCAAAGTAGTGTGATGTTTTATATTTGATTGTGTTTTTTTTAACAGTTATTGTTACACTAATTTACAAGAAACATATAAATATATTCAAACCACTTAAAAAAACAACTAACTGCTGTCGTTTGTAACCTTATAGTCTCCACAGTTTTAGAAAAACGGATCGCAAACTTGACTGAAGAGACACAGATGCTCAAAAAGAAAAATGAGGAGCTGAAGAACCTGACACGAGACTCTACTCTCTTTGAAAAACAACTGGCAGAAAACCAGGAGCTCAAAAAGAAAAATGAGGAGCTGGAGACAGAAAAGAAAAACCTAACAGAAATAATACAACAGATGACGACACAATGGATTGAGCTCAATGTTAGTCGAGCTCAGTGGAGCATTGATGTCTACTGTCCCGAAGAAAATAGCAGTATGTTCCAAATATATTAGTACAAAATTACCTAATTTAACATAGATATGCACTGATGTTTTTTATTAACCGTTCTCTATTCTTGCAGACAGAAAATGTGAGCCTTGTCAGAAGGGCTGGGAATTAAATTCCAGCTGCTATGCAACTAATAATGCTGCCCAAGGTGAATGGAAAACCTGGGAAGAAGCTCGAAAAGACTGCAGAGGAAAGATTTCAGATTTGGCTGTTGCAATTAATGAAGAAGAAACGGTAATGACAGCACATAGAGACTCCTTATTACAGACTTAGTTAAATAGATCTGAACTCAGTCAGTGGTTTAAGCAAAGTATTTAAATATCTCTGATCATTTTCCCTCTGTTCTCAGAAAATTATTCGTGAAAAGAGTTGGCAAAATAATGAAAACCCAGGATACTGGATTGGCCTGAGAGTTGAAGATGGGAAATGGAAGTGGCTGGATGGAAGGGATCTGACTAATAAGTAAGAGACAATTAAAATATTTGCCAAATTTGGAATAAATTAGTTACAATGTAAGTGTCCATCAACCTTGAGCAAATTTGTTACTTTCCTCAGCTCCTGGATCGACCAGTCATCTCCTTCTGATGGTCACTGTGCAATCTCTCTCCAAAACCAAGGATTTAAATCAGTCAGCTGTGATAAGAAGAACCAATGGATCTGCAAGAAGAAAGCTTTGTCTGTTTGAATGCTGCAAAGTAAATACTT